CTAAAGGGGGGGAGATTTAGACTAGATATAAGGAAGAAATGTTTTACGCTGAGGGTGGTGAAGCACTGGCCCAGGTTGCCCAGAGAGGTGGTGAATGCCCCATCCCTGGAAACATTCCAGGTCAGGTTGGACGGGGCTCTGAGCAACCTGATCTAGTTGAAGATGTCCCTGCCCACGGCAGGGGGGTTGGATTAGATGACCTTTAGAGGTCCCTTCCAACCCAAACTATTCTATGATTCTATGAATCGGAAAAGGAACAAAAAAAATAAGAGAACGAACCCCCAGTCCCTCCCTGATTACTGTCCCGCATATGGCAAGATGTAAGAGGCATCATCCGATTGCCAGCTGCCTAAAAACAGTCAGGCTCTGTATTTGCCCAGAGGAAGACAAAGCAGACTTTTCAAAGAGAAAGAAAAATTAAAAGGAACAGAAGGTAACAAGTACGTGGACCACAAACCCCAGAAGGAACCAAGTGGTGGCAAAAGAAAAGAATGGTGGATGAAATGGAAGAGGCATGAAGATTCAGATCACAAAAGACGTTGCCAGCACATAAACTGAGACAACACAGGAAGGTGAAGATTTAAGACAAGAAATAGGAAGAGAGCAAATACAAGGTGTACAGGAAGTTAGATTGATAGGTAGCTACATTTGTGGGGCTTTTTTGTTTGTTTGTTTATAAATACCAAATACATAAAAATTGGAGCAACTCTAACAGTGATAAACTATAAAAATGAGTTAAGAATGTAACTTGCCCTTGTGTTACCAACATCAACTGAAAGGCATCCAACAGAGCCTTAAAGATGTTTTGGCTATTTCAAATGCCTCGATATTGCACAAGTACATGAAGAATAAATTAATTTTAAGAGATCTGGACTCTGTGTTTACTCAGATTAAATAGCCTAGAGATGAAGTTGTTTACTGAGAATTAGAAAAGCATCTTCCATTTTTCAATGTATTCCAGAAGAAAGTTTAATCACTTCAGAAGACAACCTAAGCTTTTTATATATTGATATATGTAACTGCATATATACATGAATCTCTAGAAATTGCACACATATATACATACAAAATTCTTACTTTTTGCTACCAGCGTTAGCTCACATATAAACCTAATTCCATCTTAGTAAAGTGAATTTTTGGGGGAGAAGTCTACAGATTTTTACCCTTGTTTCCTTAATAGCTATCATTAGTTATTTACTTACCTGTTACAATTTATGTCCCAAGTGTATACTGCAGATACTTTACAGCAACACAAAGACAGTTATCTTACAAACGAATGCTTTATTGTTGTTGGAATCACTGCAAGGTTTTGCTGTATTTCCATGTTGGAATATTCAGCTAATACTAATATGAAACATACTGTATCTCACACATTTGTTACACAAGTATTTATTCAGGGTCTGACCCTCCTCTTATTTTCCAATTTGACTTTCCTTTTTTATTTTTATCCTTTTATTTTTCCACTTTATTTTCCAAAATCCACACTAAGTGAAAGTGAAATACAAGTTGTGTGGATTTTTTTCCCCATTTTTACATGCCTGCCAGAAAATTTCAGAAGGGTCTCATTAGAATTTACACTTTGCTTGTGAAAACATTGAACAGTAAAGCTTCTTTTTGGCAGGAAACATTCTAAGTGCAAGACTTGACTAATTTCTTGTACATAAGTCAGTCTTGTACAAACAAGTACAAGCCTCAAAAGTTCAAATGTAATGACTGAAAAAAAGTCATAAATTGAACCACCACAGATAATGCACAAACCCCACTTGCTTCAGGGAAGCCACTACTCAAGAGAATGCTCAATTTAAGCTATGGTCCAGGCATAGTCAGAATTTTTCTCTTCTCATACTTTCGCATTTCTATTTGCACAGAGCTTACAAACTAAGCATAACTGCATTTGCTACAAGACTCAAAAGAACATCAAAGCAGTGTAAGCAAGCAGCAGCTGGCAGAGCAGGACCACCAATCTATTCAAAATTTCGGAAGTAGTATGTCCTCGTTTCAGCTGGGATAAAGTTAATTTTCTTCCTAGTAGTGGGCATAGTGCTGTGTTTTGGATTTAGCATGAGAATAATGTGATCACACACTGGTGTTTTAGTTGTTGCTAAGCAGTGTTTATACTAAGTCAAGGACTTTTCAGCTTCACATACTCTGCCAGCGAGGAGGTGCACAAGAAGCTGGGAGGGGGCACAGCCAGGACAGCTGACCCAAACTGGCCAAAGGGATATTCCATACCATATGATGTCATGCTCAGTACATAAGCTGGGGGGAGTTGGCTGGGGGACAGTGACCGCTGCTCAGGAACTGGCTGGGCATCGGTCAGCAGGTGGTAAGCGGCTGTATCACTTGTTTTTCCTGAGTTTTGTTTCTCTCTTTTGTTGTTTTCCTTTTCATTACAGTTTATTATTATTATTATTATTATTATTATTATTATTATTACTTTTATATTTCATTAGGCAAAAAAAAAAAAAAGGAAAGAGGTTGAGATAATGACAGATCTGACCAGAGCATGTTAAAATGAATTTGTTATAAGCATTGTATTAGTTTAATAGTTGCTGGTCACAATGTTATTTGTTCACATGGTTGTGTTATATAAATCCTCATTTGCAGTGTGTACTCCCTGCGGTGCTGTTTATCACTTTTGGGAGATGGGTCAGGATTATAATTTTGCTGTACTGTGTAACATTGGCTTATGATACAATAATATTACTGGTAAAAAGACTAATTTGGTATTTGTATTTGGTATTGCCATCATCTCTGTACCTCAGGCGCCATCTCTCGGAAATTATTAATAATGACACTCTTCACCTTTTCTCCTCAGAGAACCAATCTATAGGGAAGACGAGGGGGTGATGCTTTCCCCAGTTCTTTCACCGTCCCTTTCTCCTTCAGGCTAGTTACACCAGCTCTCGAGAATTTTGAATATCCTTGGTGTGTTCAAGCCAGCACGCTCCTATTGCTATGTCTCCTGAACATGTTTCAGATCTTGTTTAGGGTGAAACAACTATTTAAAAATATCACTCGGAGATCTGCCCCG